AAGAGTTGTTTCTGTTTTGATCTACTTTGAATGTAATTGTTCATAATTGGACCTTGTACAGTCCAGAGGGTTGTTTCTGCTGCTTTTCCATGCGGAATAAGGTTATGGAATGTTAGTTTTAGTGTGTGTAATTATTCAAAGCCTTATTTAAATTCTATTAAAGAACATACCATTATAAATGTTAATTGCACTAATGAAATCTCTGCCATTACCTCAGTCCCACTGTTTGTGTTTCTTTCATGAATTAGCATCCGTTATTAGGTCTCAGTATTGCATATTGCTTGAGGCCCCTCGGGTCTCATGGTTTCAGGTGATTTCTTGATTGTCTTTTGTAAAAGGCTCTTCCTTGTTAGCCCTGCTATGTGTGAGAAGTCAGATTTTTGCATTGGCATATTTCTTTGGATGCATACTGTGTGTTGCAGTGCATATTGCATTAATATGTATTGCATGTTGTTGAAACAGGTTTACCGTTAGATAAGGATGTAATGCTAAAGCAGTGGTATGTGCAAAGTGAATCAGCCAGACCTCGAGCAAAGGAGCGACCGTGCTTCTGTAATGCATGTATTAGGCCTGATCCTTTATGGCAGTTACCACTTCCTTGACTCCTGTGGACTTTCTGACTTACCCTGGAACATATGAGGTCTTACTTTGGTCTCATGTTTGCAGAAGTTGTGTTTGTATGTAAACTTGTGGTGCAACAGTAGCCTTGAAAAACACATATGCTTTCCTTTTGTGTGTAGGATAAGATGTATGGTAACAAGGGTTAGTCTGAGCCAAAAATAATTCCAAGAGTTCAAGGACAGAGTGGCTTTTTGTGGCTGGCTGGTCAGTGACTGATATTTAGGCCTTAAATCAGCAATTTGGGCTTACTGATTATCCCAGAGAAGCTGTTCTGATCCAAACCTGATGCATGTTTTAAAATGTGATTATTAGAGCAGGTTGAGGTATTTTTTAAATATTTGACAGACAAATGAGGCGCATATCTAGCAAATTCTAACAGATAAAAATTGTGTATGAAAAATGTGTCACTTTTTTAGTCCAGCCTTTCTGGTAAAGAAACCAGGCTGGTGGAGCAACACACCAGCAGCTTTGGAAACTGCTTTATTAGATGTCAGGGAGGTTTCAATACCTGATCTAGTGCCCAAGTCATGTCTTAAAATGAAACTTTGGCTCCTCCATCTCTTGGGCATATTTGAAAACTTCACCCCATTGCTGTAGCCGAGATGTTCACATTTACCTGAATTTACTGGTGCACACTTACATGAGCCTGAAGAAGCTCTCAGAAATTGCTGGCTAGATGGAGTGGATGAGGATTTAACTTCAAAGCACAATTGGCTAGTGATCGTGATCCCTGGTGCAGCTGCATTTATGGTCCGGGGAAGGACATGTGTTGACTTCAGTGGAAGCAGGACTGGGTCCTTCCAGTGTGGCTATTGCCAAAGATGAGTCTCCATTTAAACCTGTGTAACCTGCCGGGGGAGGCAGGAGAACCAACTGGGAATCCTCTACAGAAGTGCTCAGAAAATGCAGTCGTTGAAATGGTCTTTTCCCCAGTCTCTGGGACTTCTGTCTGTTGGAAAAAGAGTCTGGGCTCCAGGATGAAGTTTCCCATCACCACATGAGAAGGATCTGCTCAGCACAAAGCAGCAGTAGCCTAGCAGGCAGAGTACTTTCCTGGGAGTTCCACTGTCCGTGACGGTGCTCCTGAGTTACGCAGAAACACAGCCTTCCTCATGCCAGTTCAATGTCTGGATGACCAGCAGTTTGGCTAGCCCATGTCAAGCTCTGGTGTGTGCTCCTTTTTTTTTGGTTTTAATTAAAAATCATTTTGAAAAGTATCCATCTTGTTCTTCCTGCATTATGGGGAAAATGTGTGTGTATTGGGTTTTTTTGTGGGGGAGAGGAGGCTTGGGTTTTTACTGGACTGGAAGGCAATTTCCCAGGTAGGTCTGAGAGAACGTTATATCATCTGCCTGGACCACATGTCTCCCAGGAAGGCAGAATCCTAATCTCCAGTAGGTTTTGAATCTCAGTCTACTATTTGCTCCTTTCCACATGCTGTGGCTCAACTTCCTGAAGCAGGTTGCCAGCCCAGAGAGGTGATGTGTTTCTTCATTACCCCCTGCAAGTTTCAAGTGGACCACAGTGCTTTTCCTATTGGGGAGTTCTTGAAAGTCGTTCACACAAGCATTTTAGAGCACTCAACCCCGTGGGGTTAAAGACTTGGCCAGTCTGACAAACACTGGAGTAAGAGGGATTTTGCTTTAAACTAGCAATGTAGTCACCTTCCCTACTGACGTCAAGAGGAGACAAGTTAGTGCTGTGAGCCCATGTCTTGATGGGAACTTCAGTTCTGCACCCACTGCTAGGGGGGCTAAGATTTTTTTTTT